TGACCCTCACACCCTAGGCCCCTCCATCTCTCCCTTTCTTCACCTCCTGAGGCATGACCAACCTGCCCACTCCCCATGCAAGCTGCCATCCTAATCACTGTGACCGTGCCGGCCGGAGCAGGGCTCCCATCCGGGTACGTCACATCTCTCCAGCTGTGGCTGTCCGCAGGCTGGTAGTTCAACCCACAGCGGAATGTGTCTTTATTTGTAACCACTCCCCCTTGAGCACTGATGGGGAGGTTCCCCATACAATTGTGGGCCCTTAGGGGGTGCTCGGCTGGGACACAGCCTCTCGTCACCTCCGACCAGCCGTTTGCCCTGCTATCACCAACAAGAATTAAATAAAAAGCTTCTCTTTTAAACCGAGAAGTAGGGACAAGCTGGAACCAGAAACCCACGTCGAAATCTCCCGCAGTTCTGAGCTTCGCTGCTTAGTCAAAAGCTCTGTTGGACTAGATGACCTCCTGAGGTCCCTTCCAACCCTGATATTCTATGAAAAGCCCCCGAGACGGCACAGCCCTCGGTTTGTTTTCACTGATCCACAAAGAGGCAAAAAGGCTTCTAAAACAGGGGCCAGTGTACTCCACACTCCTACACCTTCCCAGGGGCCAAAACCTCCAGCACCCCTCCCAGGACCACTTCTGTGACTCAGTTATATGCCGCCACTGCAGAACGAGGCTGCACGGTTGAAAACGGAAAGGTTGCAAACAGCGTCTGTCAAACTCAACAGCACAAGGGGCACCGTGCTGTGGGTATCAGTCACTCCCATATTTAATTCAGCAATAGACTCGGTAAGTGACCTAAGTCAGCCGTTTAATACATAAAAATTCAGCTGCCATAGAATTGCCCATCTGCAGCAGAGGCCAGGGGGCCTGGCTGCAGCATTGAGGCCCATTGTAAATTCCAGTTCGGTGCCACCCTACCAAGGACAGTGGCATCCTAGGAGAGGCAGGGGCTCCCCAGCTGCCCAGCTGAAGGGCAGCAGCAGCATGGGGAGAGCCCCAGGACCACTCAAGCAGAACACAGAAGCCACTTCCTGGGTGGAGAGAGCTGGAGCCTGGGCTAAGACTATCCTTGGGGTCCACATCTCCGCATTTCCCATTAGAAGCCAGCCCTGCTTTCCTCTGTTGATGCTTTCCTTGCTATTTGGTTTGCTCACTGCCAGATTAAGGGCAGATCAAAGGGTCATGCCGAGGTGACAACCCTCCCCCTCCCCCCACGCACCACTTCCATTGTGCATGGCAAATCAAATACCATGGTATCAAGCCAGACACCTTCTGAGTCTTATCCACCACCCCCCTGGATGCAACCGTGAGAATCTACATCCTATTATGCTGCTAATTGTGGCCACATGACATAAGGAATGAGCAGTATCAGAAAGAGGTATGTGCGGCAAGACAAAATTACATCAGAGGCCGGATTCCGTCTGGGCCAGTCATCGTCCGTCTCTCTGTCCTTCTTCCCATCCTTATCTCCAGTCCTCCACTGATATTGATTGGGGGGAAAGTCCCTAGAGGAACAATATCCCTTGGGCTTGCCTAATTTTCTCTTCCTCCTTCCTCCATTCCCTTGCTATTCCTCACCGGCCCCCTCCCACCATCCTGCACTTCTAGCAAATCCTCCCCCACCCCCAGCTTTGCTCTCCCGCCCATTCCTCCCATCACTGCCTCATCAGGCATTCCCCCTCAGCTCTCACTTGCCCCATGCCCCTGGGTTGGGGTAACACATGGAGGTGGAAGGAGACAACACATGCTCCCCATCCCCCTGGGAGGCCAGGAGTTCTTTCTTTATTCCCCTCGCTTTGCTGCTCTATTCGGCTGCCTGCAACAAAGCAGGAAGTGATGGAAGTTGGTGGAAGAAGAAAAAGAACCCGGATACGAGAGGCTTTAGGCTGCTCCTAGGTGGCCGGAGGTGGAGAGGAAGCACTGGGACCAGCCAAGACAAACCTCCGTCTGCTTCTAAAAACCCACAGCACGTCTTCCAGATGTGAGTGCACAAAGCACACCACCAGGGCATAGGGCAGGCAGGTCTTGGGGTCTAGTTTCTCAACAGGCAGAGACAGCATGATGTAAGAAATTCACTGCAACACATGGGGAAAGAAGAAGGCCAATGCCAATGACTGGAGAGCACTTTCCCCCTTTATGGTTATGGCACATACATGCAAAACACGTTAGCAGAGGGGACGCATTTTTGCTCACCCAGCCTGCAGGCAAAACAAGTTGGTTTTGTCAATGTGTTGCTAGTCGGTGGCTAACTGCCAGCTGATGCGAACCCTACAGAAATCTCTGATTTCATGAATGAGAGCCTGAGATTGACATAGGATCCCTGAATCCCTGCAGTCCAGCCCCCAAATCTGTTACACTGAGCACGCAAGCTCCTTAGCAGGTGTATGCACAGTGAACAAACATGAATGAACACCGGACAAAATTCTACTTTCAACAACCTCAGAGCTGTCGTGTTTTTATAGCACTTTCAAAGCGCCAGGAGCCAAATTCTTCCCTCAGTTACACCATGCAAGTCCACTGGGGCTGCCTGAGAGCAGAAGCCGCTTCCCAGCACTTTGCAGAATGTTGTAAAACACATTAGCGAATTACACAATATCCCGTAAGGTAAGAATTGTTCTCCATTTTGCAGATGGGGAAATCAAGGTGCAGGGAGGTCAGGGGACTTGCCCAAGGTCACAGAGTGAGTCAGTGGCAGAGCCAGGAATTAGAGCTCCAGCAACAGGCATTATTCACACACTAGGGGGTGGAGCAATGCTTCAGAGGGAGGCAGGGATCTTAGTAAAGAGCAAGGGTGATATACCAGCATCTGTCAAAGCGAATTCTCTTCTGGGTCCCTTTGCTTTACCTGCCTGGTGCTTCGCTGCTACTCCTCAAGCAGGTTTCTGGATCTTCTGGTCGGCTGGGAATGAAGACCTGACACTCGTTCCTCCTCCTTAGTCCCAGGCTGTGTCTGAACCACTGGCCACAGCAGGTTCCTCACAATCATAGCAACTGAGCCACAACACACTTGGAAAGCCAGTGATGGAGCAAGGTCAGTGAACCAGGAGGTTTCTCCTCCTTTTTATCTTTGTTGTTGCTGTTGGAGTTGTCCTTCCTTAACTCAGGCGGGGAGGTTGCAGACTCACTGACAGGTGCATTTGCTAGTTTGGTTATGGAACAAGACATGCTAACATGGCCTGTTACGCCTCTCATTGACCCCAGGGCTGGGGTAACTGCATGGACTGTAGTGGCGTTCCTCCTGACTTACACCAGAATGAGGTGAGAATCAGGATCTCAGGGCCTGATTCTCCATGGCCCTGCACCACATGTAGCTATTTACCCTATGCAAACTGAGTTTAAAACCCTGCCAGGGATGGGAGTGAGAGGACTCTGATTTGCTAGTGTTTCCCAGCCATTTTGCTCAGGTGTAAATGACTCCAAGGGGTGGCTGATTCTGCGATAGATCTTTCCAGGCATTCGCAAGGATTGTCAGTTTCATTCAGAGACTCCCCACACGGGGGTGCTCTGCTCAAGAACATCATCGCCACCTGGCCTGCCATTATCTATTTGACGTGGGTATGGAGAAACGGGCAATAGCCAGGAGAGGCAAAGAGTTAACTAGCCACATTTCATTGGGATAAATAAAAGCTCATGGGGCCAGTGTCTGCACACAGTCATGCAAGTGGAAATCCAGAGTAATTCACTCAAGGCAAAGGGGGGATCGATCCCGTTTCCATGGGCTGCCAATCCTGCTCCTCCAGAGAAGGCAGAGTCACTCCGGATTTACCCTGGTGACTGAAATCACCATCTGGTTGAGTGCCAGGCTTTTGGTTCATTTGTGTCAGTGTAAAGGGACCTCCAGAGTGTCAGGCTGAGGGTTTTACCAAGAAGGTTTTTCCCCAGGGCCTGAAGCACTTTGCTAGCTCCGCTTGGTTCTTCCACCACCTTTCTAAGCATCTGTATTTTGGTCTCTTACTTCACTCCCATCTCTCTTGCAAAACCAATGCCTGAGAGAGACACAACCACCTGCCAGTACTTAAAGGGTATAAACACCAGAGCTGGAGAGGAATTACTGAGGGTGATACCAGACTAAGAGTGGAAGGAAATTAATAAAGGGCAAATTTAGGCTGAATATCAGGAAGTGAGATGGATCAGGCTGGGCAATATTCTCCCAGGAGTAGAGGGGGAAGTTCCATGGCTCCAGGCATTAAAACTTAGACCGGACACAGCACTAGAAAAGTCCTGTACTTAAAAGCAACAAGAAGTCCCGTCTGCAGCGTTCTCATCACACACAGATCACAGCTTTGCTAAATGCCACTCCGCTACTTAAAAGCAATAAGGTCAATGGAAGGGAACCAAAGCAATGTTGTGCATGCTCGGAGGGGGACAGACAGCTCAGTGGTTTGAGCATTGGCCTCCTAAACCCAGGGTTGTGAGTTCAATCCTTGAGGGGGCCAGGGGGGGATAAAAATTGGGGATTGGTCCTGCTTTGAGCAGGGGGTTAGACTAGATGATCTCCTCAGGTCCTTTCCAACCCTGATATTCTATGATTAGCAGTGGGTGGCTCTCTCTCAAGGCTTGGAGACTGTGCACTCCGGTTGGATGAGGACTCTTGTTATTCAAGTGCCAGCCATGTGCTCTGGGGACAGATCTTCACCTGGTGTAACATGGGCGTTGATCTATTGCAGCCAGTGAAGCTGTGACAGTTTACACCAGCTGAGGATCTGCCCAAGGGAGCCTACAGTCTAAGGCCTCCATCCTGCAACGTGCTTCTTGCACCCATGTGGAGCCCCTCATACTTTAATTGGGGTCTGCCCGGATTTGGGGATCAGCTACCTGGAACTCAGGATCAGGGCTTAAGGAACAAACCCAGAGAAGACAGGATACACTGGGAAGCCCAGTGTATCCTGTCCCGGTTATCAGGTGCTATTGAGCACCCTGCAAAACCCACCTTTCTGCATCCTCAGCCCTTCCAGCCCCCTCCCACCCACTCCAGCACACTCTGGCTCCCCCTACCTAGTGGAAGGTGTGCTTGGTATTAGGCTGCAAGACCTTCTCCTTCACACAAGGGTCAAGGAGCTTCTTTAATGGGCAAATCCCTAGATTCCTCCAGGAACTTCTGGCTGGCAGGGTTGTTCGTCCCTTATCCCCGGGCCAAAGGTTAGCCGCTTCAATTCACAGCCAGAAGCGCAGGGAGAGGCTGGCCTGGCTCGCAGCATTTCTGGTTCCAGACCTGGAATGGAAAACAACATTATTGGGACATGTAGGAACCTCAGGGAAGGTTCCGATGGGCACATGGGCAAAGGTCTGGATGCTGATCCAAGGATGGCCCCCAGCCTCAGTTAAGATCGGAAGGTTACGAATGAACTGGGGGTTTTGTTCTTTCCTAACTCCAGTCAATCTGTTTTGTCAAAGCGGCTCCCACATTGCAGCCAACGTGAAGCAAATCCTTTTGGATGCCATGGCATGTAATTAACCTGTGGCACTCACTGCTGCGGGGCTATTAGCCAGGGTTTCATAGGAAAGAGGAAGCAGGGAAATGAATAAGAATAGCATGTGCAAAGGCATTAAATGACAAGGGCTATTAATCCTTCATGCTGCGGTGTAGGAGGCACTGGCTCCCAGCCACTTTTTTATGATGCCCCCATGCGATAATTTGATATCTGTCCCTAAGGCAATTTTGTATGCTTAGCTATTTGCTTTTCCGTCCTTCCTTCTCTGTGCTGTATCCTGCACACCAAGGGTCTTTGTCTTCACATAAGTCACCATTCCAAACACAAACAATAACAGCTTGAAGACAATGCAGGGCAGGGTGATTAGGTCAGGAATCAGGGCTCACCCTGGGAAGGGTAATAGTAGAGGCCCGTTCTCACCACACCCTGCCTCTGTTTGTGATAAAGGCTGGAGTGAGACTCAAGTCCTCCCTGAGCAGGGGCAGGCTGGCTTTCCTGCATGGCTCATGCAGGGCCTAGGACTTGTCCTCTCTGCTGGACGCCTGTGTGGGCAGCGCCCCGTGTGATGTGGCCACTCATTCACAATGAACTTATTCCACGCAGGCTCCCAGAACTATCGAGGTACTTGTGTGAGCCCACCACTGTAGTATCCAAACACATCACATGCATCAGGGAATTTCTCCCCACCACACCCCTGGCATGCAGGGAAGTATTCTGAGTTGAGAAACTGAGGCACTGAGCAATTAAATGTCTTGTGCAAGGTCACACTGGGAGTCTGTGGCAGAGTTAAGAACTGATCCCTGCTCTCCTGCATCCCAGTCCAATGCCTTCACTACATCACTATCTAACAGCTGTTAGACTGTACCAACTACAATTCCACAGGGGAAGCAGACAGTATTTGTGCACATGGATTCCGCGGCCTCAACATTATCAGCCACTAGGACCCAATTATTGCTGCTACAATGGGTGTTTGCTAATTAGCCTGACTTAGATCACTTGTCAGGGAAAGATAGGATGTGTTTCTTACAGACCTACTGTAGCAAGATGCGCTCCCAGCAGCATAAATTACCCTCAGTTCTTTGTGCCTCTCTTATTAGCCATTATAAAACACATCCAGCATTAATCACCCAGACCATCCAACCCAACAGCTCCTTGCCACTCCCTCCACCACACCATTCTGCTCCCAGCTTTGGCCACCCAGTTTTGGTGTCCTTGCTCAAAGCCAGCCACGCCGGGTCAGTCATGGTACGCTAACTAGATCGATGATTCGAGCTAATGTCCAGGCTGTTACATTGCTAGGAAGCTCTGCACACACCTGCCGAAGTTGCACCACACAGGAAAATCCACATGCTAGTCTCTTTTTTTTTTTTTTTTTTAAATTCCATTTTCAGTTGCTATCGGCAATAATGATCTTGGTGACGAATGTTGCCTGGGGATTAGCGGCCACAGCAACTTGGGCTATCAGCCCCACCCAGCAGGTCTTGAACCCTCGGAATTAGAGCTTAGCTAGTGCATTAGAGGCACATACTGCACCCGACTGCCTAGGTCCACAAACCCCACAAAGCAGCATAGTTCTGGTTCTGCTATAGCAATGGGGCGTGGAGGGACAGGTCAGAGAGAGGGAGTGCAAGGGACTCCCAGTCCCTGAGCCGCATGGTAGCTCATTCCTCAGCAGCGTGTGGAGAGGTACTGAGTACAGGTCAGGGATGCAGAAGAGCCATGGCCAATAGGTCAGCATCTATGCGGCCCCAGGGACCAAATTCTCATGAGGGGGTGGGCTCAGCAGGCATGGGGCTGCTACACCGATGCTCCACCCTTTACCACAGTGGTGGGGATCAGGGCCCTGCTCCAACAAAGTACTTAAGTGTGTACTTAACTGGAAGTCTATGTACCTCGTTGAAGTCAATGGGACTACTCACGGGCCTACGTGCTTTGCAGGACCGGAGCACAGGGTGTAGGGGACCAGGATTTGGCTAAACTGTCATTAAGTCGAATATCTGATCCAGTGTCAACAGTTTGAAAACTTCCTCCTCCTCCGCCCACCCCCCTAGATTTATTAGAACAATCAGTGGGAACCTGCATTGGCCGGCTGCTGAGCATTTTGAAAGCGGAGTCCTGGTTTCAATGAACTAGCTGAGCAAACCGCACAATATAATCAAACCAAACCTCACTGCCTACCCACTGGCCAGCTCCATGCTGCAGCTGGGCTCCATAGCCTGGTGTATTGAAAGCTTGTAATTTTAACACAGTTATCACTTTAATGTGTGAGGCGTTTCCTGTTCCTGCTTGCCAGGGCGCATCTGAGTCAGTCTGCAGAGAGCCAGCCTAGAGAAAGGTGGGGGGAGTTGTACATCTCTGTTATAGGGAGCAGCCTGCTTTGTCTCTCTCTATTTTTTGGATTCGTGCGTGTTATTCTGAGTTCTAAGAAATAGAGTCCTCTTATGTTCCAACTTCCAGTAAGAGTATTTTACACTTTTATCTAACTTCTCTGAGTCTGCCAGGAAAACAACATGTGGGACTGTGATGCCACAGCATGGTGCATGCTGGGATGTTACAGCCCCAGAAGAGCCTGTAATATGGACTGTTGGGGTGCAATCTGAACTATTAAAAGTGTAAAAGTCATTGTACTTTGGTGGGTGACGTCTCCTACCCCTGGCCCTGATGGTGAGGGGAGTAAAATCCCTGGTGTATGGGACCAGGCAGAGTCCCTGTCACGATACAACCCCCCTCCAGTATGGCACAAAGCATACATGGCAGGAGCTCCACTCTCCTCCAGGGGAAAGGAAACTGACAGCCCGCGTGCTGCGCTTGCCCTTGGGCACCCAAAAGCAGCTATGCTATAGAGATAGAGAGGCATCAGATGTTCTCGCTGAGAAGCCTTTTTAAGGGAAAACAGCTTTCTGACCAGAACAAAAAAGTCTTAACAGAAGTGTTGGCATTAAGGTCAACCATGTCCATGCTTGGATGTCCCAGCTCCTCTCAGAAGCTGCCATTGACAGGGGAGGTTCGTTGGAGGCATCACTCCAGTGAGATATAGGGTTACTGCATGCCATCCTTTGGCTTTCCCCAGCAGCATCTGCACATGGTAGTTTCCTAGGGAGCCTTATTTTTTATGGTGCTCATCACATGAGCAGCATGGCACAAAAGCCAGGCATGAATCGCTGGGAATAACCAGCTAGCTCTAAGGGGGAGCTCACTTGTTTCTGCAGAAACTGGAGGCCAGAAGGGACCAGATCTTCTCCTGTAGATCACAGGCTGCTAACCACCACCCAGCTACCAATAACGAGAGTTAGATCAAAATATTCCAGCCCTCAGGAGACCAAACTTTTGCAAGCCCCGGGAAGAGCACAGCAGAGACAGGCTCCTGCAGCAGAAGGGGATTAATTTCAGAAGAGGAGCTGGACATTTCAGCAAGGCCTCCAGCAGTTTTGTCTCTGCACAGCCAACCCTATCACTGGCCATTCAACCTCCTCCCAAAGGGAGCAACAACAGCTGAGGCTCATACCACGTGGCCATAGCAGGAAGAGATCACCAGACAAACTGGTGATAGAAGCCACAGCATCCTGGTGATGTGGTTGGAGCACCCTGACCATTAGAGCCACCCACGCACTTAGCTGTAGCATGGCTAAGACATCCAAAAGCCTGGAAAGGACGGGGTGGAAATGGTACCGCCCAGAAGGCCAGGTGACTGCTGGGATCCCTGTAGGGAAGGGGGCTCAGGTGAGAATAGCCCTTTGCACATGGTCATGAATGCAGTTTTTCCAGGTCTGTCTAGCATCTTATTAACCTGAGGTATCGGGGAGGTGCCCCAGCTTGAGGCCACGTGGCCTTTACTGCAGCCAGTGAAAAAGGGAGCGCTTCTGGTCTGGCTTTGGTGCTTGAACAATCGGCTGCACTGTTCTCTCTAGCTCCTGGTTCCAGTGTCCTCCCCAGCTCTCACCTGCCTCCTCCCGACAGCGTGTCGGGGCCCAAAGCTGGTACCCTGAGCCGCTTGGAAAGAGGCAAGAACACCCTCCTGGCCCCCGAGCCAGTTCCTGGCTTGCTCTGTCTGTGCTTTGGAAGGTTTGCATGCACTCCACAGGGGCACCGGTCTGTGCTCGGGGTTGCTGAAGCCTGACCCTACCCCTGCTTGGTCAGCTCTAGTAAGTTTACGTGATACAGCTGGGTACCTTTCCTCTTCCCAAAGGACGTATTTCATAACCCACCTCCCCCACTCGACTTCAAAGCTCTCTGTCACCCGGCAAATCCTCTTGGGAACAGCAGCAGGGCCCAGTCTCCCAGACAACACATCCTGAGCCTCGTGTTTCATTCCAGCACTGCTCTTGAGAACGTTGTGATGCCTGCAAGTTTTCATGGGCCAAAGCTCCGACCACATCCCCCAGCGGCAACCCATTCGCTGCCATGGTGCTTTACTGTCAGCCTGCCACCTTTCGTAGGCACCGATGCCAAGGGGCTGTCTCCCACACAACGCTACAAAACAGAGATGCCTGTGAAAGACCCTGAGACTTCTCAGCTGGCAAATGACAGATCTGGGAGCGATTTATCCCTAACTCAGGCTTCAGCAGGCTGGAACGCGCACAGCATCCCCTGTGCCCGCCATTAAAACGCTTGACTAGACTCGCTGTTTGGGAACGCCAGCAGCGTCGTTACAGGCTCGTCTTTGTAGGAGAGACCATACCCCGTCCAGCAGTCAAGACACAAAG